CGGCATTGGCAAGATGGCGGCGCCCAGGCAGCTGCCCGCCCGAGTGTCGGGCATCATGGTGCCCGCGTCCATCCAGGACCTGGAGGCCCTCCGCGCGCTGACGGCGCTCTTCAAGGAGCAGCGGAACCGGTAACGGCGCGAGCGAGCGGGGCGGCGCGGGGGGCGGGCGGCTGCGGGTGGAGGCCTCCGCGGTCGGCCCGGGAGCCCCTGGCCGCTGCTTCCCCGCGCGTGTCTTCCCGCGTCGGTCCCCGAGGTGCTCTGGGCGGCTGACACCTGCCCCCCACCCGCCAGTCCAGGTGCGAAGCTGGGCGGACGAAGGGGGCCGGTCTCGTTAATTGTGTACGAGCCGATGGCGCCCCTGTGACGTGCAAGGTACAGTTCCAGGCCCCGGCGGGGCGCACAGGACCCTCGGAGTCACGAGGCATGAACTCTAGGGGGGCAGACATGTTACCGATGTGCGCGTGGGGAGGTCGCGTGAATACCAACCAATCCCTAAGCCGGGGCGCTGGGCTTGGCGCGCCCCTCCGCCCACCGCCGAGCCCAGGCCCTGCCATCCACAGTGGGCCGGCGCTCTGCGGAGCGTGGACGACCCTGGTCCCGAGAAGCCCCTCCAGTCCACACTCCGCCGCTGCGGGGCCAGGAAGTCAGGTGTAAAGGTGCCCAGGAGCCTGACGGACCAGGATACGGTTCCTGGTCTCTCGACCTGTGCGTTATTGGGCACTTTCTGGAAGCTTTAGATTTTTTTTTTTTTTTGGTCTAGAAATTAGAATACGATGCATAATTTTATTGCTGGATTGTACAGAGGAAGAAATGAAATAAAACGATAAAATATGATGACCTCGATGCTTGTTTGATTTTTGTTCTTCGCAGGGCCTCACTTTTCTTATCTATTTAGTGGGAATAAAGTTGAACAATACCTCCTTGGGGTGATTGTTATAAGGATTAAATGAAATTATGCATATTAGATGTTTAGTACATACTTGACACAATACTAAGTAGATGTTAGCAGATGTTATCGTTTGAAATATTTATGGTCCATCATGTGCTAGGTGTTGTGGTAGGGGATGAAGTTGAAAATGGAAAGTTCTGGGAAGCCCTGATCTCGGAAGTCGGGGAATTATCCTATCATGGAGGCTGGTGCGAAGAGTATAGGGAGCGTAGAAGAAAGGGACAGTTAGACTTGGGTTTGTCCAGACTATCCTTGGTGATCTTCTCGTCTGTAAACTAGACAGACACCTTAGTCCGAGCACTTCTACGACAGATCACAACAGGAAGCGCTGGGCTGTTGAGAGAGTGCTGAGTCCAGGGCACTGCTCTCCGGGCTTTTCCGTAGATTCCGTAACTGACCCGACACTTCCGGGAGATACACTGATTAATGCCGCAGCATATCTGTACCCATGATGCACTCTGTAATCAGTCCGCCATTTATTGAGCAGCTACTATGAAACAGCTTCTTTGCTGGGAGCTGAGAATACAAAGTTGAATGTGACGTGATCCCTTTTTTTTTCAAGTATGTTAGGGAAATTGCTGTGTAAACAAATTGTAATGAGGTTTAGACAAGAAGAGGTGGTGGCACAGGGGAACGTGACGTGTTGGCTAGGCTGATGGGTTGCAAAGGGTTTAGATCACACTGGCTGCACGCTTACTGCTGAGAGGGTTCATTAGGAGGTATGTGTAGCAGGGTCGGTCCATAAGAGGATTAAACACAGGTAAGGGATTTGCTTACAGAGGAGACGTTCAAAGGTCAGTTCTCTCTCTGTAATCTGTAGGATAAAATCTAAGACCCTGAGCCAATCTACAAGGCCTTTCTAGGCCCTCCTATTGTGAGGGGAGTTAATGGGGAACTAGTGAAGGTTCTTTCAAGGGAGTGGCATGATAGAGCTCCGTGTTACAAAGGTCTCTCTGGCTGCCATTGTGGGGGATAAATTAGGATGAGGCAGAGGCTGGGGACATTTAAGAAGCTGATGCAGAAGCCCAAGTGAAAGAGAAAGGTACCTGAATTAGGACATTGTCCATGGGGACGGATAGGGTAAATGTTGACAAGCATTAACTAGGTTGAATGGACAGGACTCACACTAGTTGGGCTGTTGGAGGATGAAGAAATGAAGACGTTGCCCACATTTGGCTCTGTGTCTTTGAACAGATCACTAGTTGCCCCTCAGAGAGATCTTATGGGGTTTAGACCAAAGCCCAGCTGCCCTGACAGGATTCCCCTCCAGTGCAGATGGACCCAGAAGGAGAGTGGGCCACGGTGCTGGGAGCTGGATGGGGCATAAAGTGAAGCGAAATGAGGCCTCAAGAGTAGCAAATAGAAAATGGCAGGCAAAGCAAAAACAAACTGAGGAAAGTAAGGGATTGAACAAAAGATACACATCTTGGCTGAAAAAAATGTATTTTGTGGTCCTTCCCAGATGTTCGGTGCTACAAAACAAGTTTCGATCTGTGGTAGCTGGAGTGATAGAAGTGTCATGTAGTGGAAAGGACAATGACTTGGGAACCAGGTGGACCTGGACAAAAATCCTGGCTCATCTCTCTGGTCCCCTTATTTTTTGTCTTGAAAATGGGAATGATACTGGCCATGTTGGAGGATTACCATGAGGGTCTCTGGTGCTGTGTGTGTAGCCCAGTGCTTTGTGCATAGTGCGTGCTGTTTACTTAGCACGTGCTTTTAAGAAGTACCTGGGCCGGAAGTGACCGAGAACCCAGTCGTGTTTAATCTCCTGCCTTGTGGAAAGCAGTGGAAACAGTTTCAAAAAGATGATAATTTATTCTAATTTTTGCATTTCCTGGGAAAGGGATCTCAGAATCTCATTAGGGAGAGGCAGTTCTCATATCACATTGTAGTCATCTTAGGGCCACAAATTCTTTGATATGCTGTCCTTGAAGAGGAGGAGGTTAATTCTTCTCCCCTTGAATGTGGACTGAATTTAATGATTTGCTTTTAAATAGTAGAATATGGCCGAAGTGACTGTGTGTGACTTCTGAGACTAGGTCATTCATTAAAGGCCTATTCAGTTTTCTCTCTGCTCTCTCTCGGATCACTCACCCTGACAAAGCCAGCCGCCATGTCAGGAGGACACGCAGGCATCCATGTGGAGAGATCTGTGTGGCAAGGAATTCAGGCCTCCTGCCAGCAGCCACCTGATGAACCATTTTGCAAGTGGCCTCTGTCAGTCCAGCCTTCAGCCATGTGTGCAGCCTCCTGAGGGACCCTAAGCCAGAACCAGCCCACTCGGCCACTCCCACATTCCTGACCTTCAGGCCTGCACTGAGACGGCATTGCTACTGTCTTAAACTGCTAAGTTTTGGAGTTATCGATTAAATAGCAATAGATCATTAGTGTCCCAGTCTAAATTCTTCATGCTCTAGATTTAACCCATATTCCATAATCCACTTCTTGAATAATATCTGAATCACTAAAGAAATTGCTTGTCGTCATAAAAGATCAATATTAAGATGTTATTGAACTATTCTCAGTGGAAGGTAATTTTTTTTTACCTATTTTAAGTTTTATATTTTTTGTTTAATGTACATATCTTCATTTTAACATATAACGTGATTTTTCTTGCTGTGCTGTGAGTCTTAGCAAGTCATTTAAAATTCTAGAACAAAGTATAATATAAATACATTAAAAATTCTATTTTTGGTCTTTTCCCGAAGGTATTGTTTGCCGGCTCTTTTGTTCCTTTTGTGAGGTATCTACATCATCTGTGTGATATATCCAGACCCCATGTTAAAATGTGGAGTCAAGTGAGATTGGTTGTCATACTCTGTACCTCTGCTGTTGGTTAAATAGCCACTAGCTACATGTGGCTATTTAAATTAATTAGAAAGAAATAAAATTGATTCTGGTTCTTACTTGTACTGGCCACATTTTGAGTACTCCACAGCCACACGTGGCTAGTGGCTACTTTATTGGACAGTGCAAATATAGGATATTTCTATCATTGCAGAAAGTTCTATTGGATAGTGCTGCTATAAAATTTATTTTTTTCTGTAGAGAAGATTATGTTTGGTTTTTGAGTATTCGTGAAATGATGTAACATTCGGCTACTACTTTCTATAAATTCTCCTACTTAAATTCTCGTACTTAAACTGATACCTCATTGCTTGTCCATCTGCTAAGCTTGAATAAAGTGAGCATATCACATTCTCTAGCATCTATGCCTAGAGTCGATAATGGTAGGTAGATGCTTAACAGAGTCTTGTGGAATCACTCCTGTTTGTATAGCTTATTACTCATTGTGCACGCTTGGTCTTTTTTCTTTCATACTCATGTAGACAGTTTTTTTAAAGCTGTCAATCTGGCTTATATTTCCTTTTCCGTCTGCGTCTAGTTAAAATCGTTTTCCTGTTTATTTTCTTCGGAGTTTTGTGCATCCTATTTAATAGTGCAGATACTTCCCTCCGTACTCTGAACCCATTTACCTTATAAACTCTATTTTCCTTTTTTTTTGGAAAGCACTTTATTACATTTTGACATTACCGTATAATTATTTATAGTGGTTTCATATTCTCTTTCTTCTTCCAGAATGGAAGGCCCATGAAGGCAGAGATATTTGGCTTTTTTGTAATTATTCTGTTTGGATAATGTTTCTTGGATTTGATGTCTTTCATCAGTTTGAGAAATTGTCACCAGTATTTCTCACGATACTGCTTTTCTTCCATTCTTTCCTTCCAGGACTCCAATTATACTTATGTTAAACCTTTCATTTTATATATATCTATATATATATAAAATGTGTGTGTGGTTTAATAGTCATCAGTTTTTTGTGGCACTCCTGATTATCTTGAGGTATTTATGTTTTATCCCACAAGTTTTTTTTAATTTTAACTTTTCAATTAGAGTTGACAGTATTATATTAGTTTCAGGTGTACAGCAAAGTGGTTAGACATTTAAATAATTTACTAAGTGATCCCCACGATTGGTATCCACCTGGCATCTTACATAGTTATAACAACGTAAGTGACCGTATTCCCTGTGCTGTACTGTAGTCACATCTCTATGACTGTTTCGTAACTGTCAGTTTGTACTTCTTAATCCCTTCACCTTTTCACCCAGCCACCAACCCGTTCCCATCTGGCTGTCATCAGTTTGTTCTCTGTGAGTCTGTTTCTTATTAGTTTAT